GTAATGATTAAAACAGTATGGTACTGGCACAGAAACAAACACATAGATCAATGACTAGAAAACCCAGAAACAAACCCACAACTGTATGGCCAACTAATCTTTGATAAAGCAGGAAAAAAAATGCAATGGGAAAAAGACAGTCTCTTCAACCAATGGTGCAGGGAAAATTGGACAGCAAATGCAAAAGAATGAAATTGGTCCACTTTTTTATACCAGACACAAGAGTAAATTCAAAATGGATCACACACCTAAATGTAAGATCTGAAACCATAAAAACCCTTGAGGAGAACACAGAGTTACCTCTCTGACATCAGCTGTGGCTACTCTCTAGATATGAAACAAAAGTAAAAGTAAAATATTGGGATTTCATCAAGACAAAAAGCTATTGCACAGCAAATGATACAGTCAACAAAGCTAAAGGGCAACTTACAGAATGTGAGGAGATAATTTCAGATGACATATCTGATGAAGGGTTGGTATCCATAATATATAAAGAACTTCTAAAACTGAACACCCCAAAAATGAATAATTCAATCAAAACATGTGCAGAAGACATGAATAGATATTTTTCTTAATAAAATATACACTTGGGCAGCAATTATATGAAAAGTTGCTCAACATTACTTATCATCAGGGAGATACAAATAAAAACTACAATGATATATCACTGCACACCTGTCAGAATGGCTAAAATCAACAACAAAGGAAACAACATTTGTTTGCAAGGATGTGGAGAAAGGAGAACCGTTTCACACTGTTGGTGAGAATGCAAACTGGTGCAGCCACTCAGGAAATCAATATGGATTCCTCAAGAAGTTAATAATAGAACTACCCAATGATCCAACAGTTGCACTACAGGTATTTACCCAAAGAATACAAAAATACTGACTCAAAGGAATATATGCACCCCAATGTGCATATCAGCATTATCTACAATAGCCAAATTATGGAAGGAGCCCAAGTATCTATCGACTGAGGAATGGATAAAGAAGTGGTATATAGATACAATGGAATATTACTCAGCCATAGAAAAGAATGAAATCTTGCCATTCATAATGACATGGGTGGACCTAGAGAGTATTATGCTAAGCAAAATAAATGAGAGAAAGAAAAATACCATATGATTTCACCATATGTGGAATTTAAGAAATGAAACAAACAAGCAAAGGGGAAAAAATGATAGAGACAAATCAAGAAACAGAGAACATACTGATGGTTACCAGAGCGGAGAGTGGGTGAAATAGGTGGTGGGGATTCAGGAGTGCACTTATAATGAGTACTGGCTGTTGTATGGAAGTGTTGAATTACTGTATTGTACCCCTGAAACTATCATTACACTGTATGTTAACTAACTGGAATTTAAATAAAAACTTTTAAAAATAACATTTGAGTCAGTACTTACTGTGTGCATGCCTATGGCCAAAAGCAAAGAGGTGCTCCATTCACTTGTCACTTCTTGATATGGTAGGCAAGAGAGCCTGATTTACTGGTGACTTAATGATTCACAGCAAACCATCTGTTTCATGATTCATGAAAGAGATGGGAAGAAGATCTATGTGTTGTCAGTAATTAATTTTGAGCTACTTGGAATTGAGAAGTATGATGATAAAAATTAACTTTTGACCAACTGTTCTGTCCGTTTTGTTAAAATAGTACCACACAGACACTGCTTTTTACAGATGAGCTTCTAACATTTTTTATAGTCTTATGGAATTTCCTTTTTGAATTGTTTATGTCTTTATTTCATTTTGAGAGAGAGAGACAGAGAGTGAGTGGGGAAGGAGCATAGAGAGAGAGGGAGACACAGAATCCAAAGCAGGTTCCAGGCTCTGAGCTGTCAGCACAGAGCCCGATGCAAGGCTTGAATTCACGGACTATGAGATAATGACCTGAGCTGAAGTCGGATGCTCAACTGACTGAGCCACCCCTGGAATTTCTTTAATGCTTTTCAATTATTGGCTTAACTAGTTTTATTTGTTAAACTAGGATAAATTTTAAGAATTCCCTCGCCATCATCTACTACATACCTTTTGTCTCTTTTTGCCTACAGCCTCCCTCTGTCTTCCTTATTTTTCACTGCTGGTGTAAATAGGATAATTTTTTTTTTTAAAGTAAGCTCCTTACCCAGTATGAAGTTTGAACTCAGAACCCTGACATCAAGAAATGAATGCTCAACTGACTAAGCCATCCAGGCTCCCTGTAGGATATTTATTTATTAGGTTTCAGTTAAGGAGTTCTCTCAGGGTATCCTTCCAGGTTTTGTCCAGAAGATTTTTTATTCTCTAATTGTTGATCTGCATTAAAAAAAATAATTGTAGTATTATCTTAAATTTTGAAGACTTCAAAGTATTTACTTTGCCTTCAGATTTTTATTTATAACATTTGTATTATCCTTTTTGAATTATTTTGACCTTTTCTAACAAACTATTTGAAATGCTAATGTTATATATAAAGAGATAAATTAATGTTTTATAGGTGCTAATGGCTATAGAGTGAATATTACAAGTTGATTGATTAGGTTAGTCTAATGAACTGTTATCATTTGAGCTTCTCTAAAAAATTATTGTAATGTGTGTATAAACAAATATTTCTTCATGAAAATCATTAATACACAAAAATGAAAAATGAAAATACTTTTGTACTTCAAGGAAAATGCTTTAATACGGGGGAAACTTCCAAAAATACTTTTTAGGAAAGCACTTCAGAAGTATCATTTAAATTTAGTTCATATAGTCTCCGAAGAGCAGCTGGGAATGAGCCTTGGAGGGGATTAGCACATGTCCCTCAACTTGGAGGAGGCCTTTTCCTTCCTCCAATGAGTGAGCAACGTGCATATTCAGATGTGATTAAAGATCTTTACAAGGGGAGATTGTGATTTTACCTGTGGGTTCTAAATCCAATCACAAGTGTCCCAATGAGGGAGAGACAGAGGGATTTGGTATGCACAGAAGAGGTGGCCATGTAATCTCAGGAGCAGAGACAGAAGTTATAATGGCCAGAAATTAAGGAATGTCAACAGCCACCAGATGCTGTCAGAGGCAAGGATTAGAGCTTCTGGAAGAAGCATGGACCTGCCAACACTGTGACTTCAGACCAGTGATAGTGATTTTGGATTTCTGATCTCTAAAGTACAAGAAAATAAGCTTTGGTTGTTTTAAGCCAAATATGTAAAGAAATACGTTGATATAATTATAAGTTGTTCTTATCTAGTCACTAGAGAGTATCTTTAATAAACTTAGAAAAAGATTTCCTTCTTAATATACTGACACACTGGTTAAAATCTCCCAGATGTTTCACAGATAATCCATGCTCAGATGCAGGAGAATGTGAATAGAATATTGTTTTATTTGTGCAAACAAAACCTTTTGACTTGAGAGAACATTGCAATTCAAATTTAGTAATGAATACTTAATATACTGTTTTTTTTTTAAAAACAAGCCCATGACTCCAAAAGGAATGTCCTTAAATTCTTAGCAAAGAACATTCAGACTTTTGTCACAATTAAATCCTCAGTGGTAACATGCATAACTTGGCTTTTAATGGTTAAGTGTCCAAACACTTTTCTGATCCCTCCTTTTTTTCTCCTCCAAGTTTCTTTTCTTAATTACCATAGAAGAAATAAATATAAATTTCAAGTAGGTACCCAGACTTAATAATACAGATAAATACAGATTTATCTTGTTGACTTAATGATACAGATAAATTTACTGTGCCATTTGCTTCCCTTTTTCATACCCCTAGTATTTTATCTCCCGTTTTGCTTAAGCATCCCCTCACATATAGCCTGATGACTTGTAGTTCCATTCTGAACTCTGTCTACTGCAAGCTCTTTAAGCACCAGAGAAAATCTCTCTGTGCCTTATTGTTATCAACTGTAAAAGGAGGGTAAGTCAAACTTAGAATCTGATTGGCCTCAGAAGCTCTAAAATTCTTTGAGTCTTATGATTTTCTATAAGGTCATAATACTTTTTATTTGAACATGACAATAATGTACATGCTGCTAAATAGTTTGATCAAGGTCATCATTTGGGCAGGTTAACCAGCTTTTCTTGGAAGTGTCTTACAACTCACAATTAGCTGTTTTAAAATTTAATTGCAACTTATGAAATCTTTCCCTAAAGCTTATTCGTGAAGATCCTATAGTATTTCCTATTGAAAGTAGTAAAAAGAAAAGCTTATTTATATTTATTCATGTAACTTCTTTCACATTAATTTATAGACAATATTTATGGTGAAATAATAAATATTACTAGAAATTCAAAAGTGAGACCAAGGAAAATAAGAAAACATACTTAGCAAAAAATCAGTATACTTGCTTTAGATATGCTTCATATTTGACTGTGAACTAATGTAACCATGACAAAAATAAAAATAAGTTTAGTTTTATAATTTGTATAATAAAAAGAAGAAAGTTTATTGGTTTCACTGAGAAATCAGTTTTTTTCTGGTACCATATTATAGAAGAAAATTTTTATGTGTCATGGAGAGGACACAGAATAAAGCTATATTGAATATGATATATTTCTTGCTTTTTCATTTTATAGTTGGGTTGTGCTTTCTTTACTCACTTTGGGACAATAGACTTTTTAATACCATCTACATTCGTGACTATGAATATGCTAACAGAATAGATACTAAAAAATAATTATTGATGAAAATGAATTTCACAAGTAAATGGACTTGAGTCTGGGTTGAAAGAAAAATATTTTTGCGTCCTAATAATCTTTCTTTTTTGCATGGCATCATTCCAAGATATAATGACCCCATGTTTTCATGTTCTTATTAGCACTTAACACATTTTACTGTAATTTGTTTATCTGACATTTCCCCAGATCCTCACTTAACTGTGGGTTCTGCTAGGCCAAGAATGCTATCCAGTCATTTGTAATTCTTAATACTAATTTCATTACCTGTACATAGTAACATACTCAGTAAATATTTCAGTGAATGAATAAAATACTGACTTTAAGTATATTGTTTTCTCTCTTTTTATAATTCAGAATTATGGCTTGGAAACAGAAAATCTAAAAACCCTTTCTCACAAGTTGAATGCATCTGCCAAAAATCTACAGAATTTTATAACAGGAAGGAGAAGGAGTGGCCATTATGATGGGAGAACCAGCCGAAAATTGCCAAATGACTTTCTGACTTCAGTTGTGGATCTGATAGGAGCAGCCAAGAGTCTGCTTGCCTGGTTGGACAGGTAAAATCTTCCACATGTTTCATAAGTAATCCTCCTCAGATACTAGCTTGAATATAACATTATTTCATGTATTCTTGTGAAAGGATTGGGCAGGTAGAGGAATGTCAAATTACAAATGCCTGATTATGATTCATCACAATATAAGGGTATCATCAAATAGTAATTGTAAATTTTTATGTCTAAGTAGCCAAATAATAATCAGTCCCTGACACTTTCAGAATACCTTAACTGCTTTATAAGCAAAGCCATTTTCGCCTGTCATAACAAGATTTATAGAAGTGTTTTGTCTCCTAATTTTCTTTATTCTTTGAATTAATTTGTCATATTTAAGGAAGTGACCATTAGGATTCTGTTTGCTGTTTTAAATGGGTAATTAGACACTGACACTTTCATAGATTGTATTGCATGTCTCCTTACCCTTGCTTTATTCATTCTTTATTATTACTTACATTGCACAATCTTGGACATCATAAACATAGTTTTAGATCTTTTTTCTAGTTTAGTTTTTATTTGTCTTGGAACACATAAATTAACAAAAGTTTTCATGATATAAAATGAAAAGAGATTAAAATCGAATATGTGGTTAAACATTGTAAAGGTAAAACAAGTTACAATTTTAAAAAATTAAGCTCTGAGAGAGGGCAAGATGGCGGAGAAGTAAGGAGCTCCGTGCTTGCACTCGCGCCCATACATCACACAGAAAAGATCTGAAGCCATTGGAAACCTTACAAAACCTGAGAGATTGGGAGAAAAAAAGACGCAGAATCCACTGAGAGAGCCTTC